CTTTGGGTCTCAGTATATTTTGAACATAATAAATTAAATGGGACCTCAGGGCCCAGATAAATTGAATAAATACATTAACAAATATTGTATAATTATAAATATTATGTTATCAGTGGTACATTTTAGTGTTTATCATACCACACTAATGGTAAGTTCTGAGAAATTAACTTTAAATTTGGGACGGTATATATCCATACTAATATTATAAGTGCGAAAGTGTGTTTGTTTGTCCTTTTTTCACGTCGAAACGGAGTAACGGTTTCGCGTGATGTTTTGTGTGGAGATAGTTAGAGGGCGGGAGAATGACATAGGCTATTTTTTATCGCGGGAGTTTACTTAATTCCCACGGGAAGTCACGTTATAGTACAATTCAAAAAAATATTTATTATCAGAATTACTTGGCATATATACTCTTCAATAAAATGAAATAAATACGTGTCTTAGCATTTTTCAAAATTCATCCTATAAGAGGGTAAAAAATAGGGGTTGAAAGTTTGTATGAAACTACCTTTTTAGAGTTTTTTTGTAGTTTTAGCGCGAGCGAAGCCGCGGGTTCTGCTAGTAATATATAAAATACATACATAATATATAAATACATAATGTGAATTAGACATGTAAACTAAGAACGACTCGATAGAATCAGTTATTGTGTTTTCCCGTGGGAATGATAGGTCCTGGAGTAAGAAATATCCTAAATGTTAACCCGAGTAAGTAAATGAGTTAATAAGTACACAAAATTTAGTTAAAATCGGTCCCGTACTTTTTGCGTGAAACGCGAACACACAAACAGACAAAATTCTTAATAACTATTGTTTTGGGGTCTATATTCTGTACACAATACGTTATAGTCTTTGCTTTTAAATAATACATATATAGATCAGTTTTATTTTTTCGAAGACGAAATCATATTTTTTTTATCTCTTATTAAAAAAATATGTTACTAATATAAGAATATTAAGGCAACAAAGTATGAATTTTGTGTATCTTCTACTACTATTTCGATAGCGAGAATATGAATAAATGATGCAAATAGAAAATAATGTTGTTTGCCGTCTCTGTGGTGCAATTTTGTTTCAGTTGGTAAACTACGTATGTACATAATATATTGTATTTTTTTTTAATAGAATATGTAGACTTCTATAGCATAAATATTATAAATGCGAAAGTTTGGATGGATGGATGTTTGTAACTCAACCACACCAGAACGGCTGAACGGATCTGGATAACATTATGCACAGACATAGATTATAGTCTGGAATAGCATATAGGTTCCTTTTTATCCCGAAAAAATGTACGGTTCCCGTGGAATAGATTTGTATTTGTATGTCTAGAGGCACGAACCCGAGCGAAGCGAGGGTGAGCCGCTAGTATATAATAAAGTGTTAGAATTACGACTACTTAATTCTAACACTTTATTATATACTAGCTATACAAAAAATATTTCCCATAATCGAAAAAGCCGTAAGCAATTGCTAGTATTTTGTAAGCTTATTCAGAAACATCATACAGATGTTACTAAAAGTATAAACTAAAACGAATATGAATAGCTCTACATTATTTCTCCTAAGCCGTAGACAAAGGGAAAGTACGCAAATTACATTACATTTTGTTTTGGCAGAGTTATTTATAGCTGTTATTTCGAAATGTTTTTCGGTAATACACTATAAAGATTCTATGTTAGTATTATATTGTACTAGCATTGCCCGCGGCTCTGTCCGCGTTCAGAAGACCAAAAACCAAATTCTTAGGTTTTACATATTAGTATACTTTTACATTGTAGTTTTTGTATTTTTTTTCAGAAATGAGAAATTTTGCCGTGGTTAAAAGTAGCCTACATGTTGACCCGGATAACCAGCTATTACCATACCAAATTTTACTAAAATCCCTCCAGTGGTTTTTCTGTGATGTGGTAACAGACGGACAGACAGACAAAAATTCTAAAAACTATAGATTGGCATCTGTATCGATAATAATGTTCATTTCAATAAGAGTTTCCAAAAAATATTTATTGATGTATAGATTTATTATATGTATAGATTTATGTTGTACATACGTAATAATAAAAAATACAACCCTTATTTCTTTATCTGTATTTGTTGCATACAGAGTTTTAGAACTGGATGCTAGTCTTTGCATGAAAATAAATTATGGGCAAGCAATGGATATTTTATATATAAGTAGAACGATTTTAGTAATGTAAATATTCACTATAATTAATAGATCACTCCAAAAGGACCTCGCGTTAGTGTAAGGGTAAAGGATCTCTCCATCTAGTGTTAGGGTTATACGTATACGTTACAACTCTCTGTTTGTAAAAGGAATGATAAATTAATAAAATAATTAAATAAGGTATATTAGGTACATTAAAATAATATATTTATAGAATATCATTTAAGGAAAGAATACAATATTATATATCACTAGCATTGCCCGCGGCTCCGCCCGCCCGCGTTCAGATGACCAAAAACCAAATTCTTAGGCTTTACATATAAGTATACTCTTACAATGCAGTTTATGTATTTTTTCTCAGAAATGAGATATTTTCCCGCGGTAAAAAGTATCCTATATGTTGACCCGGATAACCAGCTATCATCATACCAAATTTCATCAAAATCTGTCCAGTAGTTTTCTCGTGATGCAGTAACAGACAGACAGACAGACAGACAAAAATTCTAAAAACTATAGATTCGGACTCTATATCGATAATAATGTCTATTTCAATTAGATTTTCCAAAAAATATTTAATGTACAGATTCGACTCAGTTACAATTTTATTATATGTACCTATAGATTTGTCAGACAATAACAACGATTACCATGGCAACAAACAGTTATCAACTTCATCATGTCGGTTTTGGCTGTTGTGTGCGCGCGTATCGTAATATTTTACTCTCAAAACTTTTTTCAAACGTCCCAAAAGAAGTATAACTTCGAAAATCATCATTTTTTCGGATGCCCGCCCATATGTCTAATATACAAACAACTATTTATTACTAGCATTGCCCACGGCTCCGCCCGCGTTCAGATGACCAAAAACCAAATTCTTAGATTTTACATATTGGTTACATTGCAGTTTTTGTATTTTTTCTCAGAAATGAGATATTTTCCCGCGGTAAAAAGTATCCTATATGTTGACCCAGATAACCCGATAGACAAAAATTCTAAAAACTATGGATTCGGCCTTCTGTATCGATAATAATGTTTATTTCAATAAGATTTTCCAAAAAATATTTACTGTACAGATTCGGCTTAGTTACATTTTTATTATATGTATAAATTGTTCCAAAATATTTGCGTAACATGTACTGTGAAGGCACCTATAATATGTATAACTAAATGAATAGTACTATGGATGTAAAAAAATGACCTCATTTTAATAAGGTCGTAAGAAGAAAAAGAGACAATCATTAAAGTTACAAAATAAATAGTAAGTTTGTTAAAGATAAATAAAAGCAAAAAATATATTGTAAGATTTGACTTATGAACTAAGATCAAAGTTGCCGTTTTTTATTTGTCGTATCGCTTTTATATTTATTCATCCCTTTTTATTACAAGTTATATCTTATTAATATACAAGTTGCTCATAATATTAATATAATAGAGTTAAGGATTTTATACATATATTTCTTAATTCAGCCCTTTTTTAACGTCCCACTGCTGGGCACGGGCCTCCCTTCAATACGAGGGGAATCAGGCCATAGTCCACCACGCTGGCCAAGTGCGGGTTGGCGGACTTCACATGTTTTTCGAAAACTTAGGTTCTCTCAGACATACAGGTTTCCTCACGATGTTTTCCTTCACCGTAAGGCAAGTGGTAATCATGTTAGAAATGATTCGCACATGAAAATATCAGAGGTGCGAGACCCGGGATTTGAACCTGTTTCACTCGGTTTCCCAAGCGACCGCGCTACCACTGGGCTACCACTACCTTATTTTATACATAATATATGTAACAAATTCAGTTCAAACCGGACTGACGTTGTAATGTGGAAATTTCAATAATTTTGTATAGATTTCACTCAACAATCTTAAAGAAAAAAGCACTTTCATTCGAAAGTCCCAATTTACCGGTGATTTTTTCTATATTTTGTCCTTAAAACTTTTGAAAACAAAATTGGTCTTGCCGATCTTATGTGATACGCGTACGAAAAAATAGCATTTCATTTCTATTTATACATATACCTACTCGTATATAGCTAATTTAATTATACGAGTTTAATATTTAGGGTTTTAACTGACTTCAAAAAAGGAGGTTCTCAATTCGCATGTTTATATTTTTTATGTATGTTCAGGCATGGCTCCGTCATATATATAGACGGATTTGCGAATTTTTTTTTGTTCGAAAGAGGCTTATTCGGAAATGGTCCCATTTAAATTAAAAAAAAATCCATTCCCAAGTGTAGAAGATAGGGGATAATTGATTTTTCAACTACTGAATTTTTAAAATACGTTTAGTCTTATTTTGCTACTATTATATATGTACACTAAAAATGGAAAAATAAAAACTAAAAAAAAAACGGACTTGACGGTATGCTTTGATTTGTATCGGCTGGAACTGACTTTAAAAATATATGATTAGGTATCTAAAGCAAATGACAATAATCTGTTATTTTTTACTGTTGAGAATTTTGTTTTTTTAAGTCAGTTTTTATTTTTTAACAGAAACTTAAATTTCATGGATTTTGTTATTTTTTATTACCATTATCTTGTACTTATTGTCAACTTCTTGACAATAACATATTATAAAACTAGTTTAGACGTGTTATTTTGATAAACATACGTTCTACACTCAGAACTATGCAACAATTGCCGCATTTTCAGTCTTGTTTGCTAAAATATGTTAAAAATAGGTATTTAAGATAGTAAAAAGACCTCCGTAACCTTTTATCAATATAATGAACAAAAAATCAGTATGGAATGCTATAATTTTATTATTTTAATTACTGTATTTAATTCAAGTGTAAAGAAGAATAGTAGGTACATATATTATTCGCCATTTATTCATCTGCAATATTAGTTTTTTCTAGAATCCACTTTTTGAAAGTAAAAACTCGGGAGTAAACATCTGGATAGCCCCTAGCGCATGGGTAGCCCCATGATACTATTCCCACCACCCTGTCGCCTTCCACGAGAGGTCCGCCGGAATCTCCCTGAATTAAAATAAAGACATAAAGATTATAATAAAACCATTTTTTTATATAATTTTATTAATATTGCTAAAATGTATAAAATCAGTTCAGATTTTCCTCAGAAATTAAAGGCTTTTTGTTATATACTCGTAAATCCCAATAAAGTTTTTGCACTCGTTTTTGAGATTTGGTTTGGTTTTTTAAAGAAATTACTCGTAACTACTTTTTTATTATCTATAAATAACTAACTTTTAACCTTTGTTTTCCAAAGGTGTTGTTGGCAGCCTAAATTCTTTCATACATAGAGGTTTCCTTATGATAATTTCCTTTACTGTAAGGTGAGTAGAGGTGCGATGCTCGGGTCTCGAACCCGCTTCATTTCGTTTCGATCAAAAACCGACCGCGTTACCACTGGGCTACTATTGTTTTTACATAATAGGTATGAGTATTTCCAATCGCTCATTAAAATGTAGTGTGTCAATAGTTTAGCTAATTGGCAATGCATGTTAATTTCGGGACCAATCGGTAATAATATTTGCTAGTTTAGTACATTGTTGTTGTATATTATGTTGCTATAATTAGAGAAAATTTGTAGTATTCAGGTTCTGGTTGCTCATTATATGGTCATTGGTCGTGGGTTTGAGTCCCGAGTCAGATTAAAATGATAACTGGATTTTTCTGTCACTAAATATTTAGTACCAGTCCGTACTTGGAAAGCTGGTGGTATCTGTAATTGTCGGTGATGAAACTGTTTTTTTACTATGTGGAATGGTCGATCTACCATGACCATCAATGAGAGAAAAAAATAAAAGGAAAAAATAAACGAATAGCGAGGTACTTATATCTATTCACGCTGTTGTACATAATAATTATATTATGTATATGCTTGCAGAGTTGGCTAATCTCAGTGAGATCGGTCGCTGATAACGAAATCACTTAAGAGGATATTACTCTACAAATAATCGTTTGTAATAAAATTGCAGCGATCCATGTGATGAATCCATGAAAAATAGTGATTTTTTTTATTAAATCTTGTGAGAAATATTATATTTATTTTTTTTCAAAATGCTTCCAGACTATGTAAGATTAAAAAAAATAAAACGTAACTTACGTGACATGCGCCTTCTCCCCATTTGGTCAAAGAACATATTTGACTTTCATGTACGGATGCCGATATTAGTGATGTGTTATAAATTTCTTGACATTGATTCACGCTGAGGGCAGATAGCTTGATGATTTGTAACTTATCCGGCAAACTTCCTGGATACTAAAATTTTTCCAACATAACTTATGTTACAGATATACAGAATATACAGGCTTAGAAAGATTTACTATTTAAATATTAACATGAAAAACTATAGGTGGTTAAGTTTCTGCAATGGCTGTTTTTGGGACTGATGAGAACAGTTTCAAGCAAACTTGCTTTTTGCTTATAACTGGACACTGTAAATGTCGCTGTTATCAAGATCACGATGTTTTTATAATGTTTTCTACCAAAGGACGTTCGTGGCAGAATAACATCTATCTACCTGAGCATTAAAGCACTAAGGGACCAGGTCCGCCGATATTATAAGTATTATACACAAATTAAACAGTGACTTTATCGGTCGAACTTAGTTTGGCGAGTGGATAGGGAATTTGCTCGTAATAATATTTTAATCTCTTTATAATGAGCTTCCAATGAGCTTACCTTTATTGTTCATTAGAAAATTGATTTTATATACAACACAAAATGTAGAATGTTTTGAAGCCCTGCATTAATTTGGAAAACAACCTTCACCTGTGAAAGTTTGTTTCTTAATGAAAGGGTGCTCATTAGCGTTGCATTAGCGTCAAAGGTGCTTTAATCTCGAATACTTCAGGAAATTAAGTATGGAGTTTCTTTAAAAAAATTAAAGAAATAAAGTTTTTGATTACTATTACACAGTAAATCGATTAACATCTCCAGGTAAATTTCTAAGAAATTAATTAAATTTCTAAGAAATCTATTGTTAATACTGGCGTGTCAGCGGTCGTGGAGGGATTAATAGTACAAAATGTATTTTTTACGTATAGTTGGCACTGATGCTGAGCTTCTAATTTTTATATTTGAACTCAAATACATTTATTTATTCTATACCGCATAATGCTGTTCCCACACAGTTCGTTAAATGATTTCACAATTTGTCGTACACACTTTGCAATCGCTTTTATTTCCTCTTTAGGGATCACATTTCAAAAAAATCTTAGTATTTACCCCTGACAAAATCAGAAACAAGTTGCGCAAAAAACTTTTTGTGGCCAGCGATTGGAAAAAATTACGTGGAATTGACAAAAAATGTAACCTAACCTAGACCTTAAATTACTTTATAAATAAAATCTTAAAAATTTATCTATATAAATCTTTAACAAAGAAAAACATTGTGACTAAAAAACTGAGATAATTTAATAAAAATACTTGGATATTATGAATAAAACTGTCTTTGCGAAATACTAAAATTACTCCAAAATACAGGCTTAGAAAAATTTACTTTTTAAATATTAACATGAAAAACTTAAAAAAATAGGTGGTTAGGTTTCTTTTTTAAATAAGCCTTGTGATGTCTAAAACCTTAATCTCTCGTAATCAAAAATCAAAATAAATCCGCGAAAAAATCCGAAAAGATAGTTTATTTAAAAGTCAAATATTCGAGTTAATCTAATAAAGTATTAACTGGAATATTAAAGTTGCTACAAAACTGAGTTACAATAGGTGTAGATTAATTAATCCTTACTGATAGTCTGCCCCATCCCGTCAGGGTTAGGCTAGCTCCTCCAGCAGTATCGGCTTCAGGTAGTCGAATAGGTTGAACTCTATCGTTGAATTTTATTTTCTCAGCTACTCTGATTACACTGACGTCATTAGTAATTTCCTGACCGTTATAATCCTCATGCACTATGATTTTGTTCACTGATAAGGTTATCCCACCGGAGGATAGACGGTTGGTCCCCACTACCACTTTCATTAACAATGGAACTTGACTGGAATAAATTTAGTAAATGTGCAAAAAGAAAAAATAACCTACAGTTTAAAATATAATTCGTTAAAAAAACATTAAAACACCCACCACACCGTTATAAAGGTCCGTTTTGTAACCAATGCAGTGATTGCAGCAATGTCATCGAAGATGTACTTTTTAAGATGCTGATAAGTCACAAACAGACAAACGAACTAAACTGTAGTTGAGTATAATTTGTAAAGAAGTTATACTTTAGATATAAAATAAATATAGGGTTAAATAAAAAAAAATCAAATTTTGAAAGAGTTAGTAGGAACATTCCATAATATATTATCGTATAATTACTAAAGTATTGAGAAACTTACCTAACTAAAATAAGGTAAAACATTAATAATTTACAAGTATTACTTCATTTCAAATAGTAAATGAATAAAAAAATAAAGTTCTTGATACTCATTATTGCTAATGAAGCTTTTTCTAATAAAATAATTTGTAGAATTAGTTCAGTAGTTCCAGAGTTTATCTTTTGCAAACAAACAAACAAAATCTTTTTTATAATATCGTATTATTTAAATTATATAATTACATCATGTATATAATTACATAGTATTTAAATTTAACTTAGGTAGAACAAATTGTATGAATTATTACGTCAAATGATTTTACCCAATAGTACAGTGTGCAGCAGTAAGCACCCATTCATCGCTTATTATTGATCCGCCACAAAAATGTGAACCAAAAATTGATCTAAGAGACGCCTGGTAGGGGATCCCTCCATCTGGCGCGTCCTGTCCTCCCACTATGCGTTTTATTTTGTTAAACGTTTCAGGCAATAAATATCCTAAAATAAAAAATAAAACTTAACCATCATCGTTATAGTCAACCTGCTTTCCTCCACTGCTGAACATAGGCCTCTCCTGACGTCACGTCACTGAAATCGATCTTCAGCTCTATGCATCCAACCGCTGCCAGATACTTTGCGTATACCGTCGCTCCACCGAGCTGTAGAGCGTTCTTCGTTCTACTAAATTCCAAATTTCATAAATATACGAGTATAGTAATGTCCTTCTGACCAATTTTGACCATGGTGTCTAATACCATCGAATAAGGAGCCACTACACCGACGAGGCAGTTAAAAATATATAGCATAATTGTATTGTGTATTTTTTATTATAAAACTTATATACTTACATACTTATATACCAATAAAATATATACAAACTACACTTGAAAAAAATTATTACAATTCTTTGGCAAGAGGAAAATAACAAAACACACAATAGTACACTGTACTAATCTTAGGGCTTAGGCAAGATAATAATATCATTGTATTATCTATTGTATGATATAAGTTATATAAAGTTGAAATCTCATATTAAATTGTTATATATTTAACAACTGGCATTGCCCGCGGCTCCGCCCGCGTTCTGATGACCAAAAACCAAATTCTTAGGTTTTACATATTAGTATAGTCTTACATTGCAGTTTTTGTATTTTTTCTCAGAAATGAGATATTTTCCCGCGGTAAAAAGTATCCTAGATGTTGACCCAGATAACCAGTTATCACCATACCAAATTTCATCAAAATCCCTCCAGTGGTTTTTCCGTGATGCGGTAACAGAGAGGCAAACAAAAATTCTAAAAACTATTGTTTCGGCCTCTGTATCGATAATATATGATATTTCAATAAGATTTTCCAAAAAATATTTAATGTACAGATTCGGCTTAGTTAGAATTTTATTATATGTATGGATTTAATACGTGATTTCAATACAATTTTTCCATTACGATTTCTATTCTTTTATTCATGTTTTAGAATGACATCTTTTCTAAGCCCTTCCTTTTAATTCCCTTCAATTTAATATTATTTATTTATGCAATGAAAAACAGCAGCTTTGCAATTGGTCTAACCAAGTCCTACTAAATCCACGATACTTCAAAAGCAACGAAGAAAGTTCTCAGAGTAAGAGGAAGTTAGAAGTATTTACGGACCTTTTGTTTTCCATTATTTTTCCGTTTCAACGAAGCTATTGTGAATGATTTCAAAGCGGGTTCATGAATTATTTTTGCTTTAAACCTCAGATGACTCTATACTACCTACACAATATATTAGTGTAGATTATCCATGTAAAGAAATTGGACAGAAAAAAACCATATTAATTATTAGTCATATTGCCGTTGATCGTCACTCTGACGAAATATTTAATTATTTATATATACATATATACGTATATACACGAAAAAATCTAAAGATCTATAGCGTATTTTTAATTAAGATTCATAATTGGAATCTATGAAAAATTGTTGTATAATAAAGGAAATTCTTTCAATCAGTATTTTCTTCTTAGAATTTGAAAATAAAAGAAAATCATTTGCGAAAAAGAAGTGATAAATATAGGAGCCAAATTGTAATTTGACTTACCTTTTGTGATAGTGATGCCAATTAAACATAGTAAAATAATTTGAAAGGGTTTTAAAACAACCATTCTGTCAACGACCGTCGAGCCACAGATGGCTCGGTTGTCAATAAATTTCTTAGAAATTAACCGCGAGGTGTTGTTAAAATATTTAATATGAAACAATAAATCATCACTCACTAAACTTAAAGTCTTACAAAACGCCTTTTATAGTGTTTCTAGAAGTCTTAGTTGCACTTTGAAGTGTATTAATAATTTGAAGTGTTTTAACCACTTTAAAATTATAAGATAGTAGATATAATTTTAAAGGGCTTTATAAATATCATAGTGTTCTTATTGTTTGTCAATACAATAAAAATATTATTAATGAAATAAAAAATAATAACTCATTATACGTTTAGTAAAAAAATATTTAAGCTGACATTTCTTCGTTACATTCAAATATCAATTCATTCAATATAAATATAAAGATTCGTTTAAAAAAACTTGTTGTTTAAACCATTTATTTACGTATATATGTTTCCTAATTTTTAAATGAAAATAAAAAATAAAATGATGAAATAAAAAGGGATATGTTTGAGATGTGTTACGTCTACTACAAAAATAGTTGGCTCTGACTACCGGGGCACAAAATGACAACTCCCAAAATACATTATTGAGTAAAAAAAAATTAAAGTTAGAAATTGTATGAATGTACAGGTAAAATTTGGTATTTAATTTACAAAAAATACCCGAGGAAAATAACAATAACTTACAATAAGACTCTGAACTAATCTTAGGGCTTAGACAAAATAATAATATCATTGGCTATAATAATATCTTCTATCTAACCATGTATATGAATTTCATCCGTACGATATTAATAACGCCAGACATGTCATGTTTTTGCATTTTATGTAAGAGATGAGAGATATTTTTGACGCGGATGCGGCTTCTTATATTTTTGCATCGATTTGTTGTTTCTCCGATGTCACATGCTTTTGCTGTCATCATGATAATATACATTAATTATGATGGTGATGATGATAATAATGATGATCATGCAATCAGAATTAATGCTAAACTGTCCATGGTCATATATTTTTGGTCGTGACTAAACATAAAGTTCATTATCTGAGTTGATGGGCAATTGCGTATTATATTCTGCTCTTTTTAACGTCCCACTCCTAGGCACGGGCCTCTCTCCAATACGTGGGGGATCAGGCCATAGTTCACCGCGCTGGCCAAGTGCGGGTTAGCGGGGTACATGTTATTCGAAAACTTGCTAGATTCTCTAAGACATGCAGGTTTCCTCACGATGTTTTTCTTCACCGTAAGACAATGGTAATCATGGTGAAAATGATTCGTACATAAAAATATCAGAGGTGCGAGACCCGGGATTTGAACCCGCTTCATTCGCTTTCCCAAGCGAGCGCGTTACCACTGGGCTAATGCTGCCTTTCATAGTTTGAATTTGCTTTTTAATTAAAAATAAAACAAATAAACACCATATTGTTGATAGACGAACAAAAACCAAAGAATACAACGAATAAGGTATTACGAAGGTAAATTTTATTAGTTTGTACATTCATTATAGTGAGCATTATAGTGAGCAAAAGTACCAATTGTCTTATCTATTTGAAAATGTATTGAGTATCTAACTATTCTTGTATGTGTACTCAAGAGCATATTTTGCTTAGCTCTTCAAAATTAAGGCACGTTATAAATGTAAAAAGGGAGGTGAAGTCCCGAATTTTCAAATATTATTATTTGAATTATAATAAATGAATGTTTAAATAATGAATAATAAGTTAAAATTGACTTGCTTTCTTCGAGAAGTAATATTATGTTTAAAAGTTCAAATTTTCAACTCAAATTTTTGAACTCAAATTTTCAAAAAAAAAAGGTTTTACACTCCATCTCCATCAGCGAATGGCACCAAATTGTTATTTAGTGATCCAGATTACAAATACTTATTTATAAAGATTTAAAGTGTTGTGATGATTAGAAGCAGGCTAAAATTGACTTTAAGAATTTAGTGTAGTTAGTCAGCTATTTTACTAGAAAAGCTAATAAATACGTATATAATATACTAGTGACTCACCCTCGATTCGCTTGGGTATAAATTATGTAGTAGTATGGTTTGATCCAAGCCTAAAATGACAAAGCAGATCAGATTGATAAAAATATCCACGTAATTTTGCCTCTCGAAGTAATTATATAAGGTGATAATAAGTATTTATAATTGTGTCACATAATTATCTAAATGCGCATTATGTCTACTTTTTTTTATGGGACTAAGGGGGCAAACGGTCAGGAGGCTCACCTGATGGAAAGTGATCACCGCCGCCCATGGACATCTGCAACTTCGCAGGGCTTGCAGATGCGTTGCCGGCCTTTAGGGAAAGAATACACTCTCTTCTTGAAGGTGGCCAGGTCGTAGCGGTTCGGAAAGACCGCCGGCGATAGCTGGTTCCACAGAGTGGTTGTGCGGGGCAGAAAATGCCTTAAAAATGGCACTGTTTTGGAACGCTGGACATCGAGGTGGTGTGGATGGAATTTAATATTTTGGCGCGATGTCTGATGATGAAATTTAGCAGCCGGGATCAGTCCGAACAATTCCTCGGAACATTCCCCGTGATAAATACGGTAGAAGATGTAGAGTGATCCAACATTTAGCTTTTACCTTCTTTAACTTTGACTGCTTTAAACAATTTTAAAATTTGTGGTCCTTTTGTTAACTTTAATTTAATTCAATTTTAATTTCCTCTCATTAAAATTAATGTAATCAATTTTGTGCTTGATTATTATAATATCCAATAGAGGTTCAAAATTAATATTTAACTTGAGAGGAAATTAAAATTGAATTATAGTAGTACGAGTATATTCAAGTATAATATATGAATTAATTTGTTTAACTTTCGACGCGTCAACCGCACGTGTCGAAAGGTACTCACATAACCTATATATGTACAGCTCCTACAATGTACATTTTATTTCAATCCATTAAGGAATTCCCGTAGGAAGTTGTATATCATAATCTATACATATAATAAAATTGTAACTAAGCGGAATCTGTACATTAGATATTTTTTGGAAAATCTTATTGAAATAAACATTATTATCGATACAGAGGCCGAATCTATGGTTTTTAGATTTTTTGTCTGTCTGTCGGTCTGTCTGTCTGTCTGTTACCGCATCACAGAAAAACCACTTGAGGGATTGTGATGAAAATTGGTTTGGTGATAGCTGGTCATCCGGGTCAACATATAGGATACTTTTTACCGCGGGAAAATATCTCATTTCAGGTCGGCCGAAGCAGACCACAACAGCCATGGAGTTGCTCCACAGTCCACTCTGCTTATCAGAGAAGTACCATGAGCAACTCGCATGTTATACCACCCACCGAAGAGGGCCACCTCTCACCGCCCACCGAAGTGGGCCACTTGCTTGTGCGTTTTTTGGCTTTGCACCCGGCTGGGCTTACCGGACGCTAATGAGCCCAAAAAAAACTTTAGAAGGTTGGTTTTATACAAACTTTCATCCCCTAATTTATCCCCTTATGGGATGAATATCGAAAAATGCTAAAAATGTATTTATTTAATTATATTGAAGTGCATTAATACCAAGTTTCAAGTAATTCTGATCATAAATAATTTTTCGGGTTGTATTATAACGTGTTTTCCTAAAAAGGACCACACTCCAGCCCTCCAACTACCTCCAAACAGAAAATCACGCCAATATCTGTGCAGAAGATATAATAGCGCACAAATGTACTTGTGCCTGTGCACACGAGTGCACTCTTTATTCGTGTCATTCTCATACTCCGGTGAAACGACCACCCGACACGATTGGATTCCGAGGCACGGGGGTGAAACACCGTAAATTTTTCCAACTGCGGACTGTTATCAAGAATTTTTTCACCGAAATACTCAATAACAGAACTTGGGCCGACCCGGGACTAGAAGCCAGGACCTTCAAGATCTGCGACCGTACATGCTAGCAACTAGACCACCGAGGCAATTTTTTAATGTATACAATAAGATATATAACTTTTTTGATTTGTTTATCATATTTTTGTAAATAAAAAATACGATTTCTTTTTCAGTTAATCTGTAACCATAGCCATCTGTGGATACAGATTATTAAAAGTTTCTTTATTACTAGGTATAACTTTGTCTTATAATAACAAGTATAAAACAGACTTCAGATATGCTTGAGTTAAGTTTGAAAAGCTTAAATATACATAAGTTAAAACTAAGTTAAGTTTTAAATTATAAAGTTTATTTTGCTTTCTGTTAACTTGAACTGTTGTTAGCTTCGTAAATAAACTATAAATTACTAAAGATACACCGACGCTTCTATCTCTTGGTTTTTCCAAGCTTTTATTTAGTATCACCTGTCCCGGTGTCTGTAATCAAATCTAGCAAAATCCGATTGAGCTGAAATTTATCACACGTTTGGTTCTCGTGACAATGCATGATTACCTAAATGCCGCAATTTTTTATCCAATGTTACAAAAAATAATTTCCATAGTGGCCCTTCAGATATGGATATAAATGAAAGGGTTTTCTGAGAAAAGTATGAATAACTAAAAAATAAAACTATAAAATGATTGTAAAACAACATTTTTAAAAACAAACTTTTATTTAAATGCTCTAAAAAGAAGAAAGTAAACTTTAAATAAATCAAACCTATCAATTTAATACAATAAATAATTAAAAAACATTACACAATTTATATGATAGTACCTGGGCCACCGAGCTTCGTTTGGAGTTTTTGGTCAAAAGTACAATTTTCTTTTAAAAAATAAAATAAAAACTTGAATAAATACAAAAAAAGACAAATTATATTATACCTTTGTATCCGACCGGGATTTGAACCCGGACACCTGTGATTGTTGATCTTGCACCTTGGCCGCTTGATCACGATGCTTATGCCCGAGTATATTTTGCGTGGAATAATGCAAAAGAAAACTGCATGAAAACTCGAAAACACGCGCTTTTTCAGGCATAAGACTTAAAGATATAGGATAAAATCTTGTCACGAGAAGTGATAGAGGGTAGATAATTATGTCTGACAATAAAAAA